TTTGTGTGAGTTTAATAAATGTCTGTGTGCACACGTGTAATTTTATAAATTGTGTGTTTGTCTGTGTGTGTGCATTTAATAACTGTGGGTGTGTTTGTGTACGTGTGTGTTTAATGTTTATGTGTGTGTGTGTGTGTATGTTTCTGCAGGCTGATGCCAATGGAGACTCTAATCCAGGTGTGTTCATGAGTGCTCAGACCATCACATCTGAGAAGAACAGCACCACCACCACCACACACATCACTAAGGTGAGCACACACGCACACACACACACACACACACACAGCTGTAGTGATGTTTGTACTGTACAGACTGTATATTCTCTGGTCTCCTCATAAACTGAACCCTCACAGCAAACAATCTGCACTTTGACGTCTCCACAATCCTTCATTCCACCTCATTTATCAGCATGTTTACCTGTGGAGACCTCAAATTTGGGGAGTCCCAGTCTCCCACAAATCTGTGTGCATTCAGGTTTAGGTCCCTACCTGGATATAGAAACAAGTACACACACACACACACACACACACACACACACACATACGTTTTGAATGTAAGACCTTACTTGAAATTTAGGATGCTGGAGTTTAGAGTATTTAGATGTTTGTCATTTTCCTTCAGCTTAGTCCCTTTATTTATCAGAGGTCGCCACAGCGGAATGAACCGCCAACTTAAGCCTCATTCACACTACAAGTGACTTCCAGCTGCAAATCGACAGGCGACCATTCATTTCAACAGAGAGTGAGCTACTTCCGGCGACCTCTGTCTACACGAGCAACAGCGACCTTCAACTTTATGCAAATGAAGAGCAACTTTCTTGAATGACAGCCAATAGGAGCACCAGTAGAGCTGTAATCCTCTCAGCTCGCTCAGTGGCCGACTGTATTAGGGCTGGGCGATATTTATAAAAAAAATGATCCCAATATTATGTTTCATATTATTCTATATTGATAATTATTGAATATTTTAACAATAATTTTAGGAATATTAGGATTTTTTATTTAACCACTTGATTTTAATTTACCAACATTGCTGAGGCAAATAGTTTGAATAGTCAAAAACAATTTTTTTTTTAAATCTCTGATCTCTTTTTAACAAAATAAACAAAAGTGTTAAAGAGACTCTTAAACTTAATAAATAAGACGTTACAAAGTGTGTGCAGTGGTGAAGTGTGAACGCTGAACAATCAAAGCTAACTTTAGGGTGTGAATAATAATGGTACAGTAAACCTCAAACACTGTAAACAAAACAAATCATGATAATTAAATCTGATTATAACCATCATTATTCAAGTACACACTGCAACATTGCAGATGGTGAAGTTGAATGACTACATTACCCCTATGCTAAAAACACAGAAACGCCAACTGACCCAGTCGGGACTCGAACCAGTGACCTTCCTGCTGTGAGGCCACAGTGCAACACCACTCACATTTAGAATGTTTCAAAAAAAAGTGCTTTGTTAAAACTTGAATGTGTGTGTTTGTGTCCAACACAATCTCACGGCAATTTAACTTTTAGATTTGGTTAATTCGTATGAGTTTGTATGATCTCATTTGTACAATTTAGCATGATTTGCTCATCCCCCAATGATGGTTGGGTGTAGGGGCGGGGTTTGGTGTCACACCTTCTTTTTAAAATCGACTGAACTAATATGAAACCGTATCAATTGGCCACTAAACCGACAAAACGTAAAATACTTACGTTTCCTTGTGAGATCAGGCTTGAGTGTCACGTGCGTAACAGCACTGGTGTGTGTTTTCTCAGACGGTGAAGGACGGGATTTCAGAGACTCGCATCGAAAAACGGATCGTCATCAGTGGAGATGCAGACATCGATCATGACCAGGTAAAACACAAACACACACACACACACACACACACCTGTCGAGCAGGACAGAGCGAAGTCTTCAGTGCTGAAATCAGTGTTTCCACAGCAGCACAACTGGCAATATATTCAATTACTGTATGTGCTTCAATTATTTATTACGATCAGCTGTTTTTCTTTGACAGCACACAAATCTGCTTAGATTATTTTATTTTATTTGGATTTTACATTTAGATTTAGCATTTTCTTACATATTAAACCTGCATTGCACAGCCCTTTAGTGGACAGAAATTTAAAAAAACGTATATTTAATTGTATTATTTATTTAAATGATAATTAAAGGAATGTTTCTCAATTTTTTTATATTTTATAAAAAAATTAACAAATTAAAAAATTTTAATAAACTTTTTTTTTTATTTTTACAGATATTTAACATTTGTTTTGTAATTTTTTATTTATTTATTTATCTATCTATCTATCTATCTATCTATCTATCTATCTATCTATCTATTTATATATTTATTTGTCTATTTATTTATTTATCTATTTATTTATTTATTTATCTATTTATTTATTTATCTATTAATTTATATATTTATTTATCTATCTATTTATTTATCTATCTATTTATTTATTTATCTATTTATTTGTTTATCTATTTATTAATTTATCTATTAATTTATTTATTTGTCTATTTATATATTTAATTATCTATTTATTTATTTATTTATTTATGGATTTATACATAGATATAATACCAAACCTTCTACAGATTTTAGTTTTATGTCTGTTAAATATATATAAAAGAGCTTCATCTCGAATCTAAAATGCAAAGAGAATTATTTTGCAATGTACATACACTTCTACAAATCTGCATCAGCTCTATTGATTGTCCAGAATAACATCCTTCAATAACATTTCAACAGATATATATATATATATACTGGTGTTTATAGAACAGAACTCCCCCTCTTTAATTTGCATATCAGTGTCTGTAAACCAATCAAATGTGTGAGTCATTGAGCAGATCTGCATATAATGAATTTGTGCATGCAGTGCTAGAGAATCAGGGTGATGTAATTATAATGGTGTGTAATTGTGTAATCAGGTGTGTATGTGTGTGTGTGTCTCTCTCTGCTGGTGCATTGTGGGTAGGCTCTGGCTCAGGCCATTAAAGAGGCCAAAGAGCAGCACCCAGACATGTCCGTCACTAAAGTAGTGGTTCATAAAGAGACTGAGATCTCGGCGACTGAGGCTCAGGTAAGACCGAATGACTGACCGACCCAATCACTGACTGACGTTATTAGGACTAGTGCTGTTCATTTATTATTGTGTGTAGTAGAGAATTTTAAACTGTACGAATTTAAGACATTACTGGAGGAGTTTGGAAGTTTAGACTTTGTTTTATTTTTATTTTTCAGATTTTTTTTACATTTTAAATTTAGAAATTCAAATTATAAAATTTATTTGAAGTTTGAATTTGAAATTTTTATGAATTGTAGAATTTGTAGTTCAAATTTTTACATTTTAAGTTACAATTTTGAATTTTAGAATAGAATTTTAGGCATTATTAATTTCAAATTTAGAAATTCTATTTGAAACTTTTTTGAATTTAGAAGTTTCAAATGTTTCGAATTTAGTTCATTTTTGTAAAAATTTAGAAATTTAAATGTCAAAATTCAAATTTCTAATGGTTGTTGCTAAATCAGATACGGTTGCGGCCAGAAGTTAACTATTTATTTATTTATAATTTATAAATTACAATTTATAAACTATTTATTTTATTGTTAAATTTCCTATTTATTGTATTTTATTAACTTCTACCCCGACCCTAAACCCAATCAACACAGTAATGTACGAACAGGAGTTGTACTGAGTGTTATTGATGCCATTTATTAAATTACCCGATAAATTGTATTTTAATAATGCCAACCTTCAACACAACCGTTACGTTTCTTTGGCATTTGAATAGTTAGTTCAAAATTCAGTTCAAATTTCAGAAGCTTTTTGAAGTAAACATTTGGAATACGATACTTTAGAATAGTATTCTACTTTAGTAATTTGTACGTTTTTTTGAATTTTAAATTGTAAATGTTTGTAATTAGACTTTTTTGGAATAAAAATGTAGAAATGTAAAGTTCAAATTTTTAATTTCAGAGTAGAATTTTAGACGTAATGCTAGTTTAGAATTTTAAATGTTTTTTTAATTTAAATTTTAATCATTAAAATTTTAACCGATTTATTTATTTTTTTTTTACTTTTTTTTTTTTTTGAAGGTCAAATTTGGAATGTTAGTGTAGAAATAGAGTTTAGAGTATTTTGCTTCAATTCA